CTCACCACTATGGCCAGCAGCCGGCGTCTCGGCCGTCTCCTTAAGTAACTGCTCGACCAGCTCGGGGTCATCAATCTGCACCTCGGAGACCATATTGCACGGGATGAACCCCACCCGGCCCTGACTCTCGCCCTTGTAGAAGCCGTCCGGGTCCTTATCCCCGAACACTTTGAGAATTTGACCCTCCCGAAACGGCAGCTCTTCGTCTATGGAGTCCACATTGGGCGACATGGTGGCGGGGTCGTAGTCAAACAGCGCGATAAACAGCCGCACGGAGCTGGCGTCCAACACAACGGGATTGATCTCCCCTGAAATAGAGTCGTTGTCTCCCCCGACTTCTTCCCCCCGCTGCTGTGACGTAGAGGAGGAGGGGGCGGTGGCGGCGGATGACGCGGTGGGCGTGGCTCCAGCCGAGGGGGAGGAGGCGGAAGCGGACGTGATGTGTTTCCGGGGGTGGGGTTCCGGACTCTGCTGCTGCTGCTGCCGCGCCGCTCCTGAACGAGGGGAAGCTGTTTGATGACCTTTCGGGGTCGGCTGCGATCGGGACGACGGGCTGTGGGCGTCGTCTCTTGTTGTTGAGGCAGCAGACGACTTCTTGTCACGTGACGAAGGGGAGGAGGAGGAGGTGACGACGTCAGGATCCGCCTCCCCCGCTCCCGCCCCGCCACTCTCCCTGTTCTTGCTCTGCTCCACCTGGCGGAAAGCGCTGGGGTTCTCCGCGTCGCCGCGGTAGTGGGAGGAGATGGCGGCGTCAGGGGCGCGACCTTTGGCCCCCATGGCGGTCGACCCTGACCCCGACCCTGACCCCGGGGCCGTCTGATTGGACGAGGAGCTGTTCTCGCGGTCTGTGTCCTCGTCGAAAGACGGGCCTCGCTCTGAGCTGCTGTCCCGGGTGATTTCTGCGAAGCAAGGAATTTATAATAAATTTATAAATAAGTATAAATACAGTTGAACCTGTCTAAAAAGACCACCCATTATGGAGCAGTGGTCACGTCAAACCTGTCTAAGACGACCCCCCATTTATCGAGAAATGGTCTAAGGCGACAAGCCCCCTCCCCCCCAATTATCAAGGAGAACAGTGGTCACCTAAAGCAGGTTATCATCTTTGAATATGTCGGGATCAGATAGAAAAACAAGTTTGTCTGTCTGTCTGTCTGTTTGTTTGTCTCTCTCT